ATTAAAGATAAAAAGGATCAAATCATCAAACGGGTTTTGTTCAATTAAATACCTGAAATTAAATACCAAAATCGAACACTAACTTATTAGAAAGTATTTGTCAAAAATAAAAATTTACCAACTTAATTTATTTAGTTGGATAAACATAATTTGATTACTTGTGACAAATTAACAAATTTTTTTAAAGGTTGGATCCCATTTTCTTTCTTTTTTTTTTCAGTGTAACAAGTACCAAATCTGACACTTTATTTTTTCAGAATATAGCATTTATATGATACCAAGTTGCTTTTTTTAAATAACCCAAACCTGAGTTAAATATCTTGGACAGTTTCTCAGCAGATGCACTGAATGCTTAAAATATGTCTCCAGATCCAGCCAGCGGAGAGGTGTCACGTTTACTTTGCATGCAGGTTTGCTTCCACAGTTTGGGGCATTCGCTCTCAACAGACATCAACATTATGACATAAGACGCTGTGAATATTCTGCGCTCCAACATGCCTACGAAGAGCAGTTTTCTGTTGAATTAGGGACGTCTACGGCACATAACAACTAATGTGATCTGATGGTGAAATTTAGCAGCTCCGAGCTTCATATTTATGGAAACTGTACTAAGGAGAGATGCAGGGTTTCCACCAATTCAAATTTAAGACTTTTCGAACCATTTTGAATGAAATTTAAGACCTATACAGCATCAGAGCTGTAAAAAAGAAGCAGTCTTAATTCCTTTGGAGTAACAAATTTTCACTTAAACCTTGACAGGGGCAAAAAAGTGAGCTTTTTCTCCGTCCTCCATTTCCATTCCAGGAACCAAAGCCAATGGTTCCTGCTAACGTGACTGCTAATGTACATTTTCTGGCTAGCAAGGTTAACAGATATCAGTAGCCTCAACTGCCTGGAGTCACAGAACGCAATGAAGAAACGACTCAAATGTTAGCATGACAGAAAAGCCTAATGAGAAAAAGAGACTATGTAGAATATACTAGATTAAATAGTCATCCCACCACAAAATTTAATATCTGTGATATTAAATTATTAAAAGCCAATTTTAAATTATTAAAGCCAATATTAAATTATTAAAAGCCAATTTACAACTAAATACAGACATTTTAAGGCTTTGTCTTTAGATAATTAAATTTAAGACTCTACATGGATGTGCGGACACCCTGAGATAGGAACCGATGCACTTCTACTTCAAGCACAACCCCAGGCACAAAGACTGCGCCTCGGGTAAAAGTTAAGATAAGCGAGAAAAAAAAAGTCCTTCAAAACTTCAGGTGAAGGTTAGAGCAGAACTGGAGATTCACATTGATGTGACAGCACCGACGTTAAACCCATCACTGTTCATCCATTTTGTACTTCCAGACATGCCGGCAATTGCTCTCCACTAAAGATGTCACTTTTCATTACAGCTGATTTTTAATGTTTCCTCCTGCCTTATTACCGACGTAACCATCAGAGTTCCACTGCCGTTGACACTTTTGCTGCCAAAGCAGGAATAGAACGGATTTTGTTGTGTAGCTGCATACTGTCCGTGTGTCGGAGTTCTTTATTGAGCAGGATTTGTTAAGGTTTAAGAAGTTGTTGGGTTTTTTTTTCCTTCTTTGCACTATCTGAAGTGCCCCTTTACAACTCGTGTGTCTGCTGCAGCAAGCACTGCAGTACTAATGCAGGATGAAAGCAAGATGAGCAAACCTCAAAGATGGTTATCAATGAATTCCCAGAAATAGTGACTGCTTCCCAGTGACAGGGGATGTCTGGCCCCAAAACGAGCCAGTCAATCATTTCTCAATCCCCAAAACCATAATATGCGAAAAACGAGTGAATGAAGCCGTTATACTGGAGCCACATCATGTCTATTTATAATGATCAGAGTTCCCTTGCCCTTTTCATTTAATCTTTTTGCCTTCATTTTTTTCTTTTTTCTCTTCTTCTCTTTCTTTCTCTCTCTATCTGTGGCACTCAGCCAACAATTGGAGTCAGTCAGTGGGAAAACTCTGTTAGTAGTCCATGCCCTGTGGGACGAAGTGGCAACAACATCCGTTACAAAAGATAGTGGGGCAGCCAACGTTTAACTGGTTGAGTGACTTTGCTCCTCACGGATCATCCAGTGAGCGTCTGTGTTTTGAACTGCTCAAACACAGGCGTGGAGGTAGGTGCTTGCACATCTCTGTCTGAGTCGGGGCGTGCATGCTCGGTTGGAGCTTCTGAACTTCTGAAGCTCTTATGAGAGCTTTGCTGCTCTTTGTCATGTTCAGTGTGAATTCCTACTGGATGGATAAATGCCACTCTTCCGTTAAATGTTTGCTTTCTTGACGCTTTCGTCATGGCAGTAAGCAATGCCTACATGCTTTGGTGCCGCACTCAAAACACTGAATGTTCTTAAGCACCCACGTTGAAGTGAATAAATTAGCAACATGCTACATTGTTGTTGGAACATGTTGATAATTGATATGACTTTCAACAATACTGCAGAATTCAGGTAAGATGACTGAACAATAAGAGTCAACGCAAAAGGGGCAGTATTATATAAAATTGGCCTTTCAAGGTTTACATTGTGCTACAATGTTATTCACATACCACGACTGTGGCTTTGATTCTTTCATGGATATTTGAGAAATCCTTTAATCCCCAGGGCAACCATTCAGCTATCTAAAACGCCTGGGTGGATCCAGCCCCCCCTTTGAGACGCAGCTCCTCCTTGGAACTGCAGTTTCCAAACCTCTCCCCTCCCCCACTCAACTCCTTCAGACTAGCCAGCAGCAATTAGCAAATACCTGGTGGATCCGAACATCTGCTGAGCTCATTTTACGAGCTACTTTTCAGCGCAAAGCTGGAATAACGTTGAGAAAGGGTTAATGTTCTGACGGTGCCATGTTCTGACGACTTCCCAAAGGCAGACTTTCAAAAAGAGCAGGAGTTTTTTAAAGAGACAGAGACCCAATTTCAAGGCAATAAATTATAAACTCAATGTTCGTGAAAGCCATATTTGATTATATATAGCATTCTTATAACATAGATACCTGATAGAGCTATAAAACTTTAGCTTTAATAACATAAATATACATAATTTTTAAAGATTAACCAGTAATAGTTTTTATAACTAATTTATGTGAGATCATGTTTTCTTGGTTAATGTCAAATTGTCATAACAAAGAGATTTTGAATCATGTCAAATTTGTATTAAAAGTGTCTTGATTTACCGAATGACACTTTATGACAACAGTAATAAATACTCATGAATACTTACTCATGTTTATGACGGCGTTATGACAGTCTTATTCACAACCCGTCAAAAAAAGTGTTACACTTTATTCACACAATGTTGTAATGTTTTTTTTTTCTGTTGTGAGTTCACCATGACTTTATTTGTTTTAATTAAACTCACACTTCACAGAAATACAGTTTGCTGTGACAATTTGAAAAACAGCAATATTGGCGCACATAAGGTTTTCATGACAATGGTTTAGACACAGATGTTTCACATTAGATCAAGTAAAACAGGTTGAAAAATGTTACGCATTGGCATTTGTGTGGGAAATGTAAAGAAAATATGTAAAGACTACAAAAAAACAAAGATTACAAAACTTTCACTATATTGAAGCTTTCATAGAAACTCTAAAACATCTGAATATGTATGCAATAACGCAGTAACTCATTTAATCCTTTCTTCATATGTAAGGTTTCTGCAATAATAATGTGTAATAAAATGTAATAAAACAACAACCAAGGAATCTTTTCTTTCTTTGGGAGATAAAAATGTTTAAAAGTAAGCGATCAGTGGTAAAATTGACATGTTTCTGCTTTTAATCTAAATTGTTGTTGAACGTTCATCTGCAGAGACAATGCACTGAAAATAAGAGATTCGTTTGACATCAGAGATGAAGATCTGTTGTTATCACACAAGATACATGTCTGCTAGTCAGCAAAATTCACAATTTAACCTTAACTACTGCACTCTCCTACAGAGAGAGGACCTCATGGCGGCACCTCTGCCATGAGGTCCTGCAATAAAATTCTAAATATTGCAATAAAATTCTAAATCCACATCGCCAACCCGTACCGGCAGTGCACAGCAACAGGTGGGGGACGATACAGTCAACATTATTTTATGTATCCATAAGCTGAAAAATAAACATCTGTCACTCTAACTGATATTTCAATAAAGTAACTTAACCTCTATGGGACAGCATAACCAAACATCTAAATGGGTTACAACTGCACTTGTTTAGAACCAGGTTTTAGTGAAACCAGGAGGCACGAGTCCATTGGGACCTAATAGGTTGCTGCTTCATGACATCTTGCGTCCTGTGAGCACTGACTGAGGTGCACTGAAGTTTAGAATCCCAAAATGCTTCAAAATCTGTCAATTGAGAGCCATAGTTCAGCATGCCTCATGTTGGACAGGGACTGCCTCGACTCCCGTCCCGGACTGCAGCACGGATTCCAGGACTCCGGCACTGCAGCCCGTCCTGGGACGTGATTAATGCCAAGCGACCGGCTAATTAGTGCCAGGCTCATCAATAAATACCCATGATAAGACTCTGGCCGAATTTGCACAATTCAGACTGAATCCACTGTACACGTTCAGACAGAGAGATGGTCATTTAAATCTGGATCAGCGCCCGCCTCACCCACCTTCTCTCCGGCTCCCCTCACCAATCCCCATTATCAGCGCGCACAAGGGCTTGGAGATAAGATGATCGGGCCAATCATTGAATTCCTTCCATTCGTCACCAACATGCGCGCACACACACACACGCGCTCGCGCACGCACACTCCAACAGAGAGGTAGCAATGGGCTGATTTCAGAACCGCAGGAACGCCATATAGATGTTGACATATTTCAAAGTTGCCCATGAGCCGTTCGGTTCCGGTCCTCCTCAGAAAGCAGACAGCGTCCAGGAACCGAAACACTCTATACATTGGATGCTGGCGGTTAATGGGGTCTGCTTTAAAAAAAAATTTTTTTTAAAGGAAGAAGAAGAAGACGCGAGTCTAACCTGATCTGGATCCAGATGTGGCAGCACGCGGGCAGACGGCGCTCCTCCAGCACGGCGGGTCCGCGCGCGCTGGCTGCCTCTGGCGGTGTTGTGTACGTGCCGTGTTGTTGTTTTCTGTTATCGGGCTGTTTCACCCTCCGGCTCGCGTCCTGTGTGACTTCGCGCGGTCTCCGAGAGCAGCTGTGACCGGGAAGAGGGCTCCGCCGGCTCCTGACGGGGTGATTGAGATTTTTTCGGATGCAAAGCAGCGGCTGATATAATGCCGCTCTGCCTCCCTCTCTCTCTCTCTCTCTCTCTCTCTCTCTCTCTCTCTCTCTTTCTCTCTCCACCCCAGCGCTTCTTCGTCTCTCTCCTCTGTTTCTGCTTCTCACACTGCGTCAGGCGCCACTTCCCCTCCTCCTCCTCCTCTTCCTCCTCCTTTCCTTTCCATCTCTCTCTCTTCTCTCCTCTGTTTGACTGCTTTGACTCTATCTCCCTCTCGCACAGGAACAGACGGTGATTAATTCGCTGGAATTCAGTTTCTCTCTCTCTTTCTCTCCGCCTCTTTTCTTCCTATAGCGCTCGCGCTTCAATCACCTCCATCCCGCCGCTTTTTCCTCTGAACTGAAGCGAACAACAGCCAGCTGTTTCGGCGCAGGAGAGGAGTCTTCGCGCCGCACTTGATGCAGTGAGATGGTGCTTGTTCTCCGCGTGGAGAGCAAGATAGAGCCCCCCACCCCCACGCCTCCCTCCTCCCTTCAAAGTCAATCCGGGGAAACTTTTTGATGAAATCATATGAAATCCAGGCGAGTGGGAGTTCCTTGGGAGAGTGAAATAGGCACGCAGATGGGAAATGGTCTTGCTGTAATTTTCCAAGAGTTATTGGTCTGTTTTATTATTATTTTTTCCCCCTCCTCCTGTATTAAGTCAGAAACCCTTCCAGATTGAGCATTCGGTGCTATTTGAAGCTGGCTGCTTGCCTAAATGCACTATAGGGCGATGTAATGTCCTGCCAGCATTCATGTGGTCAGATTAACTTTTGCAGGCAAACAGGCACATCAGATACAGACACTGCTGGCACTCTGGTAGGGATGTGCAAAAAGCCATAAAATACATTATTACTGTGTCATAATCTAACTCTGAAAATGATTAGAAATAAAACAACTTTGCCGTTAGAACCCCTGCTGTTAAATCTGGACTGTAAATTTAGTTGAAAGAATTATTGTAATTATTCAAAAAAAATGCTTCTACCGGAAACAAACAGCTCCCGGTCAAAAACAACCAATTAGAGCCAGGAGGAATGTCTTAGCGCTGTCAATCACATCATGTATTTGCTACTACATGTGCTAATGGCAGATAAACAATTTACCATTTCAGGGAAGCTGTAATGGTAAATGGTGGCCATGCTAACTAAACTTATGCATCTTTGAAAAGCAGAAGTGGGACCTCCTGCACAATTAAAAGAATACAGCACGCGATTTCTGTATGGTAAGTCGACAACGGAACACTTTTCTAGCAGTCATTGCACAGAGCATACAGTGGTAAAACCAAATGCGTGCTGGAGCTCCACTTGCTAGGTCACAGCACAGTGAGGTTTTTGAAATGGCTCAGACACCAAAAGTTTAAGCACTAAAGACTTAAACTGAAGTATAAAATCTTTCAAAAAGTGAATTTGCGAGTGTGTAAGCAGTGAGCTGGGGGGCATGGCCAGGAGCGGCTTATTTGGATTTAAAGTGACAAGAGGCCCGAAAACGAAACTGAAAATAGGCAGAAATGAGAAGACTTCAAACTGATTTAAGAAAGATGTAAAAAATTAACAAACATGTTTTGTGTAGCCCATAAACCTATCCTAACCTGCACAATGAAGCATAATAAGCCACCTTTAAATGACAAACACAATAATAATAGTAATAATTTCAAACATTAGCTTATTCTCGTCTTTGATTTAATTGTCTCACATAGACATGAGGTTGATTTCTGATACTGTTTCAGTTCTGATTATGGTTTGTTCAGTAGATGTTGACAGCAACATCCAACTTCCACAGCACAAAAAATTTAACAAAAAAAGGGGAGAAAATGTGTCATAACTATGAGCCAATGTGACTATTACAGCCTGTTAGCGATGTTTGTGTTCCCCCTGGAGAATCACATTGAGCTGAGCAGTGCGGTCTGTAAACACAAATCATCTGGACCAATCACAGCTGTTGAAGTATGTCGTGCTGGTTATTCATGTGACGCAGCATCTCTATTCGAAATCTCAGGCCATAAAAAGCTACCATCTGGTCACCTAACTTGAACATTCAGTCTGTTCAACTGTTCAAGTTCCTCACAGCTGCACTCATTTCCTGATGAGTGCAGGAAATGTCTTATATTCTGAAGAAAGTTTTAAATAAACCTGTAGTACTGAAATTAAGTCGACACATTTGCATTAAGGGAAGATAAATCAACAATAAAGAGGCAGTATTATGGAAAATAGAATTCTGTGAGCTTTACTTCATGTTATAATGTCATTCCCTCATCAATAACATACTTGGAGAGTTGACTCGAGAATTTTATGTTTGAGAAATCCTTTAATCTCCCGTGGCAACCATTCAGCTGTACAAAAACGCCTGGGTGGACGTAGCTTCGCCTTCGATGAGAAAACTCCTCCTCAGAGCTGCAGCTTCCAAGCTTCCACTCACAGAACACTGTTCCACTAAGCTCCTTCAAACTAGCCAGCAGCAATTAGCAAACACCTAGTAAAACTGCACATCTGCTGAGTTCATATGAGCTATTTCTCAGAGCAAGCCGACTGAAGCAACTCACACCGGGGTTTCAGTGGTACGTTTGGTAAACTCTTTGGAGACATGCGGTTCTTGCATAATGAGCAGCAAGAACTGAAGTTGAGAGATTGATTGTCGATTGAATGTTTGGCAGCAGGGGCTGATGCTCGTCTTCAACGGGGTCTTTATTTTTCAGGCATTTAAGGAGCTTAAACACTAGATCACTTAGAGAGGTTTTGCTCTGTGAAGATAATGCTCTTCAACGGTACTCATAGTGAAAATTTCTGACATATAGGCTCAATTTTATCAGATAAAGTTTAAGGTTTTTGCTCTTTTCACCAACAGAATGAAGGTAAATAGTGCAACTAAGGTAAATAAAAAAAGATTTAAGCAGGAAGTCATTAAACTGACACACCGAATGATTTTTTACACAAACTGCCTGGGAAGGCTTCCAGAAGAAACAGCTGGACACATACTTAGTGAGAATGGATGAAGCACCTGGATCCCCATCTATCACAGGCAAGCTAGTCAGATTAGCAAAGCTACACGACAGAGGTTAGTGAGGAACTATTATTGCTGCCAGCTTTGAAACATCCATTCATTTCGAAATATAAACCGCATGATTCTGAGAAGCTCAATTGGAAGTCTGAGAATTTATCACCATCTTACAAAATCACATTACAAAAATTTCAGACGCAAACATTTTCCCACGAGAATGCGGTTGAACAAGTCAGAAACATATTTGTTTTCACTTTGAAAAATCAGGCCTGATGTAAAAGCCCAAAAGCCACATGTGATATTTGCCAGCTAAGTTCATCACAGTGAAATGAGTCATTTTGTTAATTTTGTGAGTCTGTGATACACCATCTCAACCTGATACCTAGTTTTGGTGAAACAGCCACCAGTCAACATTCTTCTTTTTCAACAGTAATCAAAAAACTGATTAATCCAATATAATTCCTGTTTCGTAAAAAGTCTCATTATAAATTCTGATTGTAAAACTATGCCCTGTGAGGTAAAAGAATAAACAGTTGTGGAAAAATCTTACATTCAGTTCTTCTGTTTTTTTGGGTTTTTTTTACTGTATTTATTGCCACTTTGACATAATGCTTCCCTTAAAATGGCAATTTTTTCCACTTACAAAGTATGGAGATGTCTTTAATTTCCATGTGAAGTACACCTCATCTTTGAGAAACAGAATCAAACATAAAAAAAATAATAATAATATAAAAATACCCCACTAATTTAAAGTTTACAGTTTGTTTGTTTGTTATATATTGAGACCCAAAGTATGTTAAGCATGTTTTGGCTTTTTGAAATATGGGGGGAAACGAGTACATGAACATAGTCTCCATGAAAGTGAAGATTAAGTACAAGACAGGCGAGAATCAATCCAAAAGTAGAGCCAAGTGTCTTTGGTAGCTGGATAATAATTAAGTTAAAAACCCTGAAAATAACGAAACCCTTCAGAAGAGTCAACGTTTGTTATCCCATGTTTTCTACCGACTGAGTGAGACAATCATATGCAGTTACAGCTGAGTGATGCGATACCAGGCTGGTGATTATATGCGCTTTCCCTATTTTTGCCTTTCTGAGTGCAACATGCGGGCAAACATTTGCCAACATTCACAATCCTGCAGTCAGAACTGTCATGCCAGAGGAGACCAGCAGAAACAGACTGACGCGTTGACAAAGCTGGCAGACAGACACACAGACAGCCAGGCAGAGGGGAACGGCGACAGATGGAGAGTTGCAGATGAATGACACCGGGAGAGCAGAGGAGGATGGAGCGGAAATGGAAGTCAATCACGAATTGTCGGTTTTTCCTTTTCACCCATGTCACCGCACAGCTGCTGGGAATGTCAAACCCACGTCTGCAGAAAATCTGGCAAACTGTTTTTGATCGCGAAAGTAATTACGGTCTCAAAAAAATAATTGCTAACATAAACACTTAAACTGAGAGTTCAACAGATTTCAACTCCAGAAATCCGTTTTTCATAGGTTTGACAACAGGTGTCCCATTGTAGACGTCAGTAGGATTGTAGCGACAGAGCTACATACTCTGAAACACTAACAGCTGCACCATATTCTGCTGTACACAGGGAATATTTACATCTATTATCAGATGACATGTCTTGCTCTTACTAGGGGAACATCATGTCCCCTTTGGCTCTGGATTTTGTTTCCACTGTCAGCCCTGCAAATATGATTTTCTTCTGTATCAGAAATCTAAACTAAAAAGTAGATTCACTCTTTTTGTGTAAACAGGAATCCTGACTGTCTCCCTGATAAATATTAAAACAAGATAATACATTTTCCAACAGAAAATAGGTTTATTTTAAAGGGTCAGTATTATGGTTTTTCTAGCCACATAAGTTTCATTTCATAACACAGTCAAGTTATTATAAAAATCCTGTATATATCAAACAATTTGACTGAAAACAATTTGACTTAGTAATCTAATGCCTTGAAATTGGATCTCTATCTCTGTAAGAAACTCCTGCTCTTTCTGAAACTCCACCTTAATCACAACATGGCTCCTCTATTAACCCTTTAGCAACGTTTATACCAGCGTTGTACTGAGAAGCAGCTCACATAATGAGCTCAGCAGACCCACCAGGTGCTTGCTTATTGCTGCTGGCTAGTCTGAAGGAGCAGAGCCGAGGAGTCGCAGGCAGAGGGCTGTTCTGTGAGGCTGAAGCTCAGAAACTTCAGTCTCTCCAGGTGTTTTGTACAGCTGCATGGTTGCCACAGGAGATTAAAGGATTTCTCAAACATGCATGAAAGAATCCAGGCAACACTCCAGGTGTGTTTTTGATGAGAAGATAACATTGCAACATGATGTAAAGCTACAAAAAATAGTTTATATAATACTATCCCTTTAATTACAAATGTCCATGTGAA